CTCTGGGAGGCCATTTCAGGGTGGCGCTACTAACTGGGTGTAGGATAGAGAGTGGTGTGTGGAGTGCTGAGGGTGGCGAGACACTGGAACAAACTCTGTAACGATAATTGGTTTGAGTTGGCCCATCATCAGTGTGAATCCTATTTTTATTCTCGCAGGTGTCTTCTTGTGATTGGTTGTTGGGAGTGTCGTCAGAGACACTGTGTGTCCTCTCCACACCTGCGCATGGTTGTATTCCGCTGCCTATTCTCATCTGTGTACAGTGTGTACTCTGTCTCCTATCCCCTTCTTCTTATGCATGTATGGGCGTGGATGAGAGTGTCTGTGTGTGAGTGGCGGTGAAAATCGTCAGACAACCAAGTTCATAACACTAAGATAGTGAACAAAAAAAAAAAAAAAAAAGAGTGGTTGCATTGTGCTGTGATGACAGTGATGGGGTAACCACCTCATTCTTCATGATGCGATGGGGTTTGCAATGCTAACAGTCGTAAGACGGTGTTCCGAACCATCTATCGGAGGGAGGATGGCCCAGATTTGCGGCTGGTCGCCCAAAAATTGAGATCGGCATGCACTTTTTTTGGGAAATCCATGGGTAAGGACGGCCCAGACTGCCGGTCGGTGTTTAATGTTTTGGTGACTGGCTGCAAATCTACGCTGTCCTTTGAAGCACAGTCGAGATTGCACGGACAGCCTGTGTGCAGGTCTTTAATGTCTTGGTGACTGGTTGCAAATCTAGGCCTTAATCAAACTGATTACGTGGCTGCCAATCGGGACCGTCCTCTGGTGCATGGCCCAGCTTTTTTTTATATTATTTTTAAAAAGCAAACAAGGCTCCTTCTATTGTGGGGAGCAGCAGTCCGGTTCCTTTTCCACCAGCAAGTCAAAGGAATACAATTATTGTGCGCACACGACACTCCTCCCCATTATGGTTGGGGGGTTGGAGTGGACGGCATTGATTACTTCCCTTCGGGGTTTTGCCCCAAGAACAACTGATTAAGCCTGTGCGTATGTCCACACCAAGAGGAGGCTGTTGGTGTAATTCAACGACCTATGATTGCCGAAGGACCGGTCTGTAATTGCGTGGTGTGAGCATCCTGATGTGTGTGGATGTCTCGCTTTTGTGCGTGAATGCGATATCCAGGTCCTACATATGCAGGTGACGAGCGAGAGCGACCCCTACTTCTTGCACAGCTTGTCCGTTAACGAGGAAGATTTTCAAGGGTTGAAGCTTGACCAGTCTATACTGGTGGACTTTTCGACATTCCCGTTCAAACTGATCGAGCTCTTGGAACTATGTATAGAATCGAGAACGGAAAAGAACCCACGGTACGTGTCTGCAGAACTCCTGTACTTCATACTGAAGAAGAGCATGCAGTGGGTGCCATGCAGTGCGGCCAGTCCGTGCGGGACTGTGCAGTGCGGGGGACCGTGCATTGCGGGACTGTGCAGTGCGGGGGACCGTGCATTGCGGGACCGTGCAGTGTGGGACCATGCAGTGCGGGACCGTGCATTGCGGGACCATGCAGTGTGGGATCATACGTTGAGACCGTGCCGTGTGCGACCATGCAGTGGGAGCATACCTTTCTCTTATGTTATGTCCAGACTCCAAAGTGTATATATTATATGTTGTGCAGTCGATGGGATTCTTTGCGGTCAACCTGTGCAGCAACGCGTATACTTTGTCATGAATAACTTTGTTGCCGGGAAAGAGACCATCGGGCCTCTAATTGATAACAGCTCAATAAAGTTCATATCTGTGTTCCCGACCGGGCCGCCGGGGTCACCTTGGTTGCCAAGGAAAAAGTCCCTGTAAAAAACAACAACAAAAGAACCGGAAAAAAATAAACCTGTGTTGTGCAGAAAAATAAACTGAACAACTTTTGCCTCAGCGTCGGATCGAAATTCTTTGCCAATTTACAAATAAAAAACTAATAATAAAACTATTTTTTTGTTTTTTTGTTTTTACTTTTCAACTTTTAATTCAAATTTGGGCCCGCCCGGCGCCGGGCCAATTGATCCCGGGCCACTCTGGTAACAAAGGTTCATATTAACTTCATAAACTTCATATGCTATTCCCAGGTAAACGATGCTAATGATACTGGAAAACTGTGAACGGTGTGAACAGTATGAACAGTGTGGAGGTTGTACAGTCGAACAGAACGAAAAAGAAAAGAAAACGGCAAAGTGTGGTAGGTGATAGGCACTTGTTAGTAAGTTGTTACTTTTTTTTTTGTTGTTGTTACTGTGGTACTAAATTATTGCATCCGGTTTTCCTTTTTTTGGAGTTATGCTCAAGGGGACGCTGGACCCGGTTTCCAGCCAAGCCAAAGCTGGGTAATGGCCCCAGTACACCGGGTTGAGATGTGGAGGGATTCCCGGCCTCCTTTTGCAATCGATAATATATAAGCATAATGAAAAAAAAAAGAAAAAAAAGAAGCTGCGCTAGTAAATGGGGGGAAACGAGCGATAGCCGTAGCTGAGCAGTGTGGAATGGAATGGTTGCAGTGGGGATGTGTGTTAATCCGCTCGGGGTCGGGGTTGTCGTTGTTGTGGTAATGCACTCTGTGGCAATAATTTGTTTTTAAATTTTAATGGTATCTTTGTTGGTCTCTCCACTGTGTCTTATCCCCTTTGCGCTCTCTGTGCGGAAAGAGGTTGTAATGTTCGTTCAACCCCGTTGCCTTTAATCAAGAAAAACAGTTGTTTCTACTTTATATGCTTGTTTCTACTTTGTTCTAGTGCGTCTGCATTACGTCATGGCAATCTCCTAGCCTAATGGGTAAACATGTAGCTCAAATCGAACCTGAGCATTGGGCCCTGACTCCTGAGGCTTGGGCCCTGGGGTTTTTGAACCCTGAGGTTTGGGCCCTGCGGTTTGGGCATATGCAGTATTCACATGGGGGCCTTAGAGGCCCCAAAACAAATCCAAATGCTGAGCGTTGGGGACCCCTGAAAGCAACTCTTGATTGCAATGCAAATGATGGGGACCTGTGACACGTGGCTGTAAGATTCAGTCGAGAGAATGCGAAGAAAAGCAATACAATTTTTTGACAAACCAGAAACAATCGCGAGGTCGCTGACACCTCATGTTTATTGTTGTTTCCTTTTATTGTTTTTACCTTTTAAGTTTTAACCTTTGGGCATCCACATGGAAAGAGGGACTGGTGATGTTACATCCTATTTGTCAAGCA